CAAGGACGGTCCAGGAATCAGCGTGTTTGTACATGAGTAGAATGTGTCCTTTTATTTAAAATGCATCTCTGGGTTATTTGTGGGGCATAGGAATTTGTTCATTATTATTTTTCAAAATAGGGACGCGGGGTGACGCTGTGGGTAAAACCTCAGTGCCTAGGACTTGCTGATCGTAAGGTCGGCGGTTCGAATCCCTGCGGCGGGGTGAGCTCCCGTTGTTCGGTCCCAGCTCCTGCCCACCTAGCAGTTCGAAAGCACCCCTAAGTGCAAGTAGATAAATAGGTACCGCTTTACAGTGGGAAGGTAAACGGCGTTTCCGTGTGCGGCGCTGGTGCTGGTGCTGGCTCGCCAGATGCAGCTTTGTCACGCTGGCCACGTGACCCGGAAGTGTCTTCGGACGGCGCCGGCTCCCGGCCTCTTGAGCGAGATGAGCGCGCAACCCTAGAGTCGGTCACGACTGGCCCGTACTGGCAGGGGTACCTTTACCTTTACCTATTTTTCAAAATATAGTCCAGCCCACCACATGGTCTGAGGGACGGTGGACTGGCCCCCTGCTGAAAAAGGTTGCTGACCCCTGCTCTTATCTTTAGGCATTTAACCTGCATCGTCTTGCTCTGATCAAATGCAGCTTGAGAAACGGGATAAATCAATTGTGTCTGAAACTTCAGTGTATAATATTCCCCAGACTGATTGGTGAGGGAAACTGCACTTATCAATGCACCCATGCCGTCATGAATGGACACAAACCCATCACTGTACATAAGCCCTCAAAAAGTTATGAAGTGTTATAAGTAGCTAACACTATGCATTTCTGTGAATCATAGAACTGTAGAGTTGGAAGGGACCCTGAGGATCATCTAGTCCAACCCCCTACAATGCAGGAACATGCAGCTGGTCCATACAGGGATCGAACCTGCAACCTTGGTGTAATCAGCACCATGGTCTAACCAACTGAGCTATCCAAGGCCCATAAGGCCCACCCCCTACTTACTGAGCAAGACTGTAATGCAGGTTGCTAGATGATGGACAGACTAGTAAAAAATAGGGAGGGAGATTCTGGCAGAGAAGGGACACAATGTCCCGTCTCTCCACCAGAGCTTGGCTTTTGTGCTGGTGGCAGAAGAAGGGACAGAGGACCAATCCCTCTCACACCAGCCTGCTTGCCTGAATGGAATGCTTGGTCCCAAGTTGTGAAACAAAAATGTATGTTTTAATAATGATGATGATGATATATTATAATCCACCTTGTGAGGAAATCCTTCACAAAGCGCTTACAGTATTTTAAATTACAGGTTCATTTAATAAAACCTTTTTAAAGCACATAGTGAGCAATAATAACACTAAAACTACCAGCATAAAACAGTAACCTAGCCCACACCCCAGTTAACTGCCTTCATCCATGCACCCCATCAAAAACTTACGGAAGCATTTTAAAGCCACCTTTAAATGCAGGAGGTGGGACCTGCTTAATGTCTAACTTTTAATATGGAGTTGTGGAGCCACAACCAAGAAGGCCCAGTTATGCATTCTCATCTGTGTCTCCAAAAATTTTTACACATCACTTGGGAAGACAGGTGAACTAATTCCCCCATTGGAAAGACGTGTGGATCCAGAATTGGCCTCCACAGTCACTTACAAACTCAACTGTTAAGACTGTGTTTATGGAAGACAATCTTACTCGGCTACGAGTGATCGCCAAAGAAGAAGAATTATATCTCTAAACACTGTGTGTTTGGTACTGGACCCTGAATGTTGTGTTGCTTTTGTGACTCCCTTGGTCAGAGCAACTGCAGTTAACAGTTTGCAAACATGGCCAAAAGGTTTCCTATTCCCCTCCCCCCAAAAAATCACCCTAGGTAATTTAAGTGAAAAAGAAAAACAATTACACAGAACTTGTGAGAACACGGGGATGAAAACTCTTTGATTGAGTCTGAAAAATGGTAGGGGGTCAAGTTTGTCACAGTTGCGTGAGTGATCAGTTTAATAATGAGTTGCATTTCCTACTGGCCTGCCCTGGTATGGGTATAATTGGTGCCATTATGCCAGTGTGGAGACTTCTTAAATATAGGGAGACCTCAGGCATTCTTTGGTAGTTGGTAGAGACAACATCTGCAGCTTTCTGGTAGGCTAAAATAGTCCTTGCAAGGACCGCACCCTGTGCTTTAATGACCCGTTTCCCTTATCTCTCTCAAACATGTGGTGTTGAATTAGAAGGTTCTGCAAAACCAAAGATGCTTTAGGTGAGCTGTCCACAGTATTTTAGGGTGGTGGCAGGGTTGTTTAACATGCCACCCATTGCTTAGAACCCTGTAATCTAATGTTCTCTGTGGCACAGTTTGAAATCTATAGTTAGCCAGGAGCAGGGTGAGGTTTTCCAGCCGTGGCAACTTTATTTTTAAACATGTCTAATTTTGTTTCTTTCATTTCCAAGTCTTTTGCTGAGTAGTGAACCGGGAGCTGGCTATATGGTACAGGTGCTGAATCTGGCTTTTTAAAATCACATTTGTTTGAGGGGTGTGTGAGGACATTTGAGGAACTCTCTAGTTTGCCAGCCTCTTAATGGGAAATTGAATAATAGGACACAAATGTTATGAACTAAACTCTTCCAGAGTGAAAGGGTGAAAAACCTTAACACTTGTTGGTGATACACGTGCCCTTGGCTGCCTGGTTAATAATAATTTTATTTTTTATAATTTCAATCATTTTAGTTTTAATGTTTAAACATTCATAAGGGTAGGCGTTACTAGGGTCATGGAATATATTTGGCTTCGCTTTAACATAAGGGAAATCTTAGGTCCCCCATCTAGAGTGTTAGAAGTGGGCAGAGATATGTTGGAAAAATCAGAGAACTAGCTCAGGAAAGGGTAACTTTTAAAATGACCCAGTTAATTAATGCTTGTAATGATCCCAGATCCCTTCTCAATTTAAGTGGTACGTTTCATTTGCTTGACCAAATCGTTTTTCATAAACTGAAATCTGCAGGCTGGCCTGACTTCTGCCAAAACACTGATCTGCATCCAACTATTGATCTGACTCAGATCAGGCCTATTGAGGTTAATGTAGTGAAGTTAGCTGCGCCCATTCATTTCGGTGGGTCTTCTTTTGAGTATGACAAGCATTGCATGCAACCCTCTGTCTCTAGCAAACTCTGCCTTTGTCACTTTTGCAGATCGCCTCTGGCATTTATGAAACAGGTGACGCTGCAAATTTTATGGACTGAGAACGGAGGTGGGGAAGAAACGATTTGGGGAGGGGAGGGATGCCAACCCAGGAGTGTACTTAGGAATGCAGTTCTCAGGGTCTCTGGAAGGAGAAGGTGGTTTCTTAAACCAATGTCTGTCTTGTGGTTTTGATATGCCCTCTGATCACAAAAGGAGCACAGCAAATCCATATCGGATTTAGGCCAGTGACCTGAAGAAACCTAGGGAAGTTTTTTACTGTGTGGTTTTTGTACTGTGGTCTGAATAGCAGGAGTTGGGCTGCGGTGGGTGAGTTGGTCACATTGCAGCATAAGGCTTGACTTGATGTTCTTTCTCTGCCTTTTCAGCGTCATCTAGGGGTGCACAATTACGTAATTCTACTGCGTGTACCACAGTGGTAGAGTTTTCATTTTTGAATACTTTCTAGCTTTGCCTACTGGGACATTTTTTTCATATTTGAATACTTTCTAGCTTTGTTTAATGGGACAGGGGCTGTGCAAGACACCAGAGCCTTGTTCTGCACCAGTGTGGCGCTTCAGCTTCCGATTCCGCAGGGCTTATGTCTTCACACGCTTTCCAAGTGTGCTGTTGTAAGCATCAGTTCTAGAAACTTGTTTGGAAAGCCGGACGCTGTGGCTTTTTCCTTGTTCGGAGGCAGAATCCCAGCAGCTGTTCTGCGGGGAAGGGTTGTTTTGCATTTCACCTGACCAGATAGCGAGGCGGCGCCCTAATAATGCGGAAGGAGATAATTATCAGAAACATCTTCCTTCGCCCTGGGGGTGATTTCTGCTGGGAATGCGTGGCGTCGCCTTGTGCAGGTACATCTGAGAATAAAGGGCTGGCTCAGGGCAGGTGACGATGACTCGATTAGAGCCCTTTTTGCACTCTGGTCCTACCCATTGCATGTGGCTCTCACCCTCAGGATGGCACAGGTACAGGTAGGTCTTCTTCTACTTCCCTCTTCCCCCTTTAAAACACGTTTGCCGGCACTTTCCTTTGACGGGGTTAGACTCCAAGCGCCATCTTGGCCTCTTGAACCAGTTGGCCTTAAGTTAAAAAGCATGATTGCAAAGAAGAAGAAAAAGCGTAGCTGGGGGGGGCAGCTGCCCCACACTTAAATCAAGCAAATACATTAAAAATACTTAGCTAAAAGTAGAGATTGTAGAACGGTTTTGACAGATTTTTCTGAGCACTTGGGGTCAAAAGAAATGAATTTTAAACAACTGTTGTTGAGACATTTCATTCTGAATCTGCTAGACCAGTAGTTCCCAAAGTAGTTACTGCCTCCGGGGTCTTTGTGTGTGTGGATACCTAGGAGGCACTAGGCAAGGGGGGGGCGCCCACTGAGGGTCGTGTAAATGACTATCAGGCTTTGAAAAGCTGGCATCAGTGGATCAAGTTTTGTTGAATCAATTGAACAAAGTAATTTTAACTGGGTTTGGCATGAATGCGCTATGAATCGTTGCCTTTTCGAGTTTTATTGCGCTATCATGAGCTTCCTCGGTGGGTCATGCGAACTGCCGTTCTGAATGCTTTCTAATGGGCCACAGGGGACGAGTTTATGGAACCAAGGGGGTAGTGGGCGCTGAGAAAAGTTTGGGGACCACTGGGTAGAGGATGGTGACAGGTGGGCGTCCTGCCAGCACCCATCTCCTCCCCTTGCCGACATAAATCCTGGCTACGCCCATGAAAGGGGGACCAGGGCGCAAACTTTACGGGGATTATCCCCCACCCCACCCCACCCCTGCTTGCCCGAAGTGTCTCCCCTCGGCGTGGAGGAGGGCGCGCGCGCGCTCCGGGATGCACTTTCTCCGTTGCGGCGTCTCCTCTTTTGATCTCTGCCCAGGAGCCGCTGCTATTGGCTGCCTCTCTTGTGACGTGCGGGGACTGCGGTTGTCCTATGTAGCGAGCGCCGGGCTTAGTTTCCGTCTCTTTCCAGAGACCCGGGATTCTCTGCTGGGTTGGTGCGGGTGGGGAGGGGGGAGGGAGAAGCAAAAGGAGGGACCCGGGGGCCGCTTTCTCCCCCCCCAACCCCTCCACCCCAACCCTCCTTTAAAAAAAAAAAATAGGAGGGGAGGGGTGGAAGGATCAGCTCTCCGCCGGCCCTCGGCGTTCAAAAGGAAGCTGGCCAGGGAGAGAGAAGGGGAAAGCTGTTTTTTCCCCCCATGGAGAGCGATGCAGGGAGCAAAGTTGGAAGTGTGAAGCGAAACTAGGGATCTCCCGCTTGACGGCTGGGATCCGGTCCAAGAGCGCACGTGAGTCTGCCGCACTTGGGGTGTTACGGGAAGAGGAAGAGAGAGCAGAGTTGAGCTGAGATCTGGCCAAGGGCAAAAGGGACACAAGAGAAAGTGGATGGGGCCCGGGACCCTGGGGGTGGGGGGCAGGAGGGTGCTGATGGGGAGGCAGAATCCGAGCAGCGTTGAGTGGCAGAGGAGATCTTGGAAGCAGTAGACTTGGGGCGAGGGGGGCAGCAGCTTTGCAGAAGTTTTGGGATGGGTAGGGGGAAGGCTTATAGATAAGTGTAGCGGCAAAGTACCATGGGGTGAGATGTCATGTGGATAAGTAAGTGATGAAGAGTTAATTTGTTTTGGGGGGGGGTTGATCCCAGCTCTTTGATGGGATCAGAGGAAGGAGAGGTTTTATATATAACCTTAGCCATTAACGATCTGTGGTCCAGTTACGTTGTTCTGCCTTATAAAACAGCTGCCCGTTGCACTTAGGAAGAATTTCCGCCTCTAGATGCTGATTGCTGGAGTGTTAGACGAAAGGAGGTTGTGGGAAGAGAGGTTGGCGATGATCCAGGGAGGTCATTTAAGGATGTCAAGGTGTGCATTGTGCCCAAGGCACAGGTATGCCTAGAAAAGTTGCCTTCCCTTCACACTGTCCTATACCAAAAACCACATGGCATCCGAGCATCTTGTTTTGGTGCGGAGGAAGTGACTTGTCCTTGTAGTTGGTTTTTTATTTATTTATTTTTTAATGTTGTTCTTGCTTTGCATGCTGTGCTATCATGAAAGCTTTGATTCCACTGTCCCATTTGGGGTGGGTTGAGCGGATTATGCAGGATCTCGTAGATGGGGAAGGGCTAGGCAAGTTGTCTTACCTAATGGGGCCAGCATAGGAGCAAACTCCTAAAAATATTTGAGCGGGCTGCCACCACCACCACCACCACCCCAAGTTGATGGGCATTGCCATTCAAATGGTGTGTGTGCACCATGTCATGTGATCGATGGCGGGGCTTACCTCCCACCACCACGACCACCGATATTTTATTCCGGGGCAGGATGGGTCCCTGCAACCGCCAGCTTCTGCCCCATTAGAATGGGAGGCCAGAAGTTGCTTATCGCCCCAGGACATCGTCTGGAGGCTCATGACACAGCAGCCTTGCCAAAGATCTGGCTTGCCCGTGTTTGGTTGGAAGGCTGCCCGAGGACCCAACCTGGGCATATGCTGATATTTTTCCCTATAGAGACAGGATGTAACCGCAACAAATACACAGAAGATAGAATGGTGGTCATAGCAGCTTCTGATCTAGGCATCGAGATCTTTGCGGACTCCAAAGATGCAGGCTTTGGGGGTTTTACTCCAAGAGAGCCGGGGTAGATAGGTGTTTGAGGGGAGCCAAGGAGACAACATTGCTGCCAGTGCCAGTTTGAAGTGCCAGTCTGCGGGCTGTACTAGGGCAAGCAGATCCGGGAAGCTTCATAATCAATCCAAGGGGATTGGATGGATCTGGGATTTGAAGGGGTTTTTGAGATACAGTGGTACCTCAGTTTAAGTACTTAATTCGTTCCGGAGGTCTGTACTTAACCTGAAACTGTTCTTAACCTGAAGCACCACTTTAGCTAATGGGGCCTCCTGCTGCCGCTGCGCCGCCAGAGCAAGATTTCTGTTCTCATCCTGAAGCAAAGTTCTTAACCCGAGGTACTATTTCTGAGTTAGCGGAGTCTGTAACCTGAAGCATATGTAACCTGAGGTACAACTGTACTGGAGAATCCCTCGCAGTCAGAGCAGGCAAGTCGTGCATTAGATGGACACAATGATCTAACTCGGTACAAGGCAGTGTAAAATGCTCCTGCAAGGCTGATGGCTTGCATGCAGTTTACAATACAACCATGCCTTGGTTCTCGAACGGAATCCATTCTGGAAGTCCATTCAACTTCTGAAAACCAAGGCGTGGCTTCCTGCACTGAACTGGAAGCCGCGTCGGACGTTCGGCTTCCAAAAAAAGTTTGCAAACTGGAATACTTGCTCCCGGGTTTGCGGCGTTCAGGAGCCAAAACGTTCGAGTCACAAGGCGTTCAAGAACCAAGGTACAACTGTACGTTACAAGCCTTGCCCATCTCAAAAATGTCCTACACAGGACTATTATTCCCATTCTACAGAGGCAGAACTGAGGCAAAGAGGGGAGTGGCTTGAACCCAACACCCTCCCAGGGCCACGCCAATTCTTTTAGGGCCAGCAGCACTGGAGAGCAATTTTGTCGTGCCCCGAGATTGTAGATACAAGGCCTAACGTTAGCAATTCCAGGGGGAAGGGGGACATCTTCAAGGTCATGTTTGTCTCATGGTAACTGCAAGTAGAAACAGATTTCCAGCTTGGTCCTTGTGCCATGAGCAGGGTTGTGTGTGCTCTGCCTTCTTCCCTCAGCATATGGTGGAGGTCCCCCCATGCAAATTATGCAATTGTGTACTCTAGTTTCTTGGACGCAGGTGGTGCTGTGGGTTAAACCACAGTGCCAAGGGCTTGCCGATCAGAAGGTCGGCGGTTTGAATCCCCGCGACGGGGTGAGCTCCCGTTGCTTGGTCCCTGCTCCTGCCAACCTAGCAGTTCGAAAGCACGTCAAAAGTGCAAGTAGATAAACAGGTACCGCTCCGGCGGGAAGGTAAACGGCGTTTCCATGCGCTGCTCTGGTTTGCCACAAGCGACTAGTCATGCTGACCACATGACCCGGAAGCTGTACGCCAGCTCCCTGGGCCAATAAAGCGAGATGAGGGCCGCAACCCCAGAGTCAGTCACGACTGGACCTAATGGTCAGGGGTCCCTTTACCTTTACCTTTTACTCTAGTTTATATTATTCTTTCTTGAGTCAGGATCTAAAGCCGATATGGGGAACATGTGGCCCTCCAGGTAATGGCCAGGGATGATTAAAGCTGCAGTACAGCAACATCTGGAGGGCCAGATGTTTCCCAGCCCTAAAGTTATACAAGGCACTGAAACCTAGGCTATTGGAAACCCTGCTCAGCACCCCCCTCCCCTCCTTAAAAAAATCACCAATCATTGCCTCTGCATCTTCAGATCCTTCCCATTTTGAAAGCTTAGAAACTTGGGTTCTCAAAAATCAAAGCAACTGCAAGCAGAGTTAAGGAGGCGAGATTATAGGCTGTTGCATCAAAAGAGTTGTACCTCTTGGCAAAAGTCCCTGTCTTATCTTGAGGGCTCTTCCTCGTTCCCGAATGCACATGGACACAGCTGCTTTGCTCAAACCCTTCGCTGAAACGTTTATCCACATGTACGCACCCACGCCACCCTAAAATGCGGTGTGTTCCTCATACCTCTTGCCCCTGCAGACCGATAAAAGATTGCACTCATCTTTCTGGTATCCCGGCTTTGACTTCCCCGTTCGTCAGTTGCTCTTAAGCTTCTCGCCCAATTACCTTCCCCATTTTCCTGCCCTTCCCTTCTTCCTCCCCATGCAAAGTTTTCAACACCCACATTCTCTGAGCCTTCTGTTGCAAGGAGAGAGTAACTCCGAATGTAGGGCATGTTTGGAAATCGTGGTTTAGACGCCTTCAAATATAGCATCCCAGAGATCCTCTCCAAACAAACGTGCTGTTTTATTTGCTGGATGTAGAGCCTTCCAATACAAATAAGAGGTTTCTCCATACAGAGTTTTATTTCATTCCCTATTACTTTTCCTTTTTTGTTTGTCCTTCTTGGCCTTCTCTCTTCCATCCCCCCCCCCCAAAAAAACCTCCTGGTCAGGTGTTTTTCCCTTCTGGGGGGAGGGGACTCCTACAAACCAGCTGCCATTAGGCAAGCGATATGTTTATCCTGTCAGTGTGGAAAAGAAGGGATTTTAGAACAGACCAGCTTCTTCAAAGAAAAACAGAGAAGGCTAAATTTAGAATCTACCTAAATGCCTCTCCTCTAAATTAAAGGCATTCCGTTTAAAATAAAGCCTCTCCAAAGCTCAGTGCAGTTCTCCTTAACATGGAGGAATGCCTGCAACTTTTTGTTGGAACTGGATGGACATGGCAACCCCGGTTGAGGATTGCGCGTGACACGGTGCAGAAGTGACTGCCTTTTTTGTCCTACCTCACAGGGTTGTTGAGAACGATAAATTGGGCAAAGATTGTAAGTTGCTTTATACGCAGAAAGGGGCTGTCAGAAAGAAAAGACATTTAGCTATTGGGCCAGTTTTCAGTGTGTCATCACTCTGGTACGACCAAGGGCAGTTTCCTGACCATTTCTGGCACGAATTGGATGGATACTCCACCGTACGCAAGTATTCCCTCCCCATAGGAAGCTAGCACAGCAGAGAGGAAGTCTGGGAGGCCTGAAATGCTCGTTTTCTGCCCGGAGGGAATGTTTTTATATTGGGGGACAGCCATACATACAAACCCCCTTGTTCAGGGATGGTATGTCAGCGAGTAATAGTTGCTGAGGATAAACATTGTGTCTCGTCTCCGTGCAGGTCATAGAGTTGGAAGGGACCCTGTGGATTATCTGGTCCTATTTGACCTAACTGACCCATCCTTGTAGTACTTCAACTGTCCTGCTCACATATTTTGGTAGCAGAGCTATCATCATGCGGGGGAGGGGGAGGGGGGTGCGCACATCATGAATGGCTTGAAAGAAAACAGGGAAGGCTTATTAAGCTATGACCAGTTTTTGGAAGAGAGATGACAATCACTAAGATTGCCAAATTTGCTGAGCACAGAGGTTCCTGATATAGCCATGATTGATTACTTTATTTCATATATAAAAATACATACATTCCACGTTTCAGACAAATACTGTTTCCCAAATTCAGGTAGGTAGCCGTGTTGGTCTGACGCAGTCGAGATAAATAAAAAATTGTCCAGTAGCACCTTAGAGACCAACTAAGTTTGTTCAGGGTATAAGCTACCAGAACAAACTTAGTTTGTCTCTAACGTGCTACTGGACAATTTTTTATTCATTTCGACTGTTTCCCAAAGTCATCGCTGAGTGAGGATTTGAACCCTGCTCTTCCCGAGATCCTGGTCCAACT